CTCTATTTCCATAAGTGATAGGTGTCTGCCTAGCCTGTTGTGTCCTGTGAGTACTTCTATGAGGAGGCGAAATACTTGGCAATCTCTGACAAGCAGCCACTTCTTCCTTGATTTGCTTGGACCGGCCATGAATTCCTTGGCCTGCCTGCAACCTGTGATATTTCTTTAGTATTCTCCTAATGCCTTGTCTGCCCATTCATCGAGGACTGACATAATTTGGCTCCTTGATATACCTAGTACAGGCTCCGGCCCCAAAACCGGCTCCGCGGATCCGGTCCTAGCAAGTTCGTCTGCTGTTTCGTTTCCAGGCACCCCACTGTGACCCGGGACCTATACCAGTTCAACTTCCTTTGATTCTGCTCATATCTCCAGGGCATTTCCACATTCCTGTACCAATGCTGAGCTTGGTCTGGGATGACAGATTGCCCTGAGTGCTGCCTGACTGTCCGAACAGATGTAGATCTTCTGCTCTGGCCCCTCTTTCACCTCATGTCTCTCTGCTACGACCAGGATGGCGACCACTTCAGCTTGGAAAACTGTGGTGTATTTTCCTAGAGCGTAGCTTTCTCGTATGTTTCTCCCTTCGAGATAGATTCCTGCACCAGAGGCCTGTCTGTCAGTCAGACGGGATCCGTCTGTGTAACATACTAAGCTTCCTGGGCGAACTTGGAAAGTGCAACCCCAGACGGAATAGAAATTCCTTCAATCCAGGATAATATTTTAGTGCGGTTGATAAAAATTTAAACAACAAAGGAAATGAAAAAGTATCAGACCAAAATTCACCCACCCTAGTAATACGATTGATAACAAAATAGTGCGGCAGATAAGCTAGAATATTTCATCTATTGTGCACTTTTTGATAAATGCACCGAATTTCGCACAGAGGTAGACCAATTGTATAAATGTAATTTTGTGATTTCTTGTTTTGTTCACTGATTAATCAGTTGTTAAATTAGGCATAGATTGTTAGAATTTGTTTGAGAATCTGTGATTTCTTTATTCCATATTTTGAAAGTTTGGTGATGTTCTGTTTGTGTTCGTAAATCATTGTTATCATGAGAATATAAGGTTTTTGATCAAATTGTTTATTTCTACATCGTTCAAATCATCCATATCATTATATTCAAATTCGAGTTCAATTTTAACTAATCGAAATCGTTTTTTTTTTTCATCCATTTTTCAATGTTAGTCCTTTTTCTCAATGATCAGAACTCGCAGAAGTAGGAAGACAGGAAATTATCCCAACCTTCGATTTTCAAATAGAACACTCTGTATTACATTCCACAATCGGTTAGAGGTTGTTATGACGAATTGAACAATACCGGGTTTGATAGGGTTATCTCGAACGATCACGAAGATATTTGCATTCGAATTTTCAAATGCTCCGCAGCTCAGAGCGAGTAAACATGATTAAAAATGTCAATTCAACCATACAGTGTGTGCCACTTTGAGCAGCACCACCTTGGTATTTTCTTAATCGCTGACAGATTTGAGAAATTTTGTGTTTCAACATGTACTTCCCAATGAGTTCTACATTTCTGAGTATTTAACACTTTGATAGCACTACGACACAGGCAACTATAATAAATTGAAAATGCCTAAAATCAGTTAGTAATATCAGGAATTTTTTCAGCGGAAAACTGAAATTCTCAACATGTTGAAGTGGGACACACTGTATAATTCAGAACCCCTGAATTTCGTTTTATTATACATACAATAATAAAAAGTTATAAGGATGAGCATTCCTATCAAATCACCCGTTATAGTGTACAGTCGTCTTCAGCGAACATGTCGCGGTTGGACGGTATGAGCGCTCTTATTGCAGCAGTGATCAAGGGAGCAGACAGCGTCCATGTGCGACATGATCTCTGAAGACGACTGTACGTTAAATCATGGAAGATATATTTGAGGAAGAATATAATAGATACATTGAGAATTATAGGAGTTTCATTTTTGGATTGACATATCAACTGAACTGAAAACAATATCATTCACTTTGTTCAGAAGAATGCTAAAAATACTAATCGTCTCATGAGGAAATACGATATGTAAAACAATATCTTGGAACAAAAATACTCTCCATGGAATCAGCTTCTTCTAATACTTACTGTAAATTTTTGGAATTCAGAATATTTGTTTGAACCAAATAAATATATGAGGTGTCCCGAAATTAGCCTGCCAAACTTCACCAGCGGCTTCTACGAACAAAAATAGGAAGAGAAGTTTCAATTAAATTCCTTTTTTTTTATCGCTTGGAGCGCACGAAAGGAACTACGGCCCCCTGAAAGGAGGCTATCCTGAAGATGATATTTCTTGAGTAAATCCATGTGATAAAAATATTCAATTTGGTACAAGAACTGAACTTTTAATGCCTATTGCAATGGAAATGAAATCATTTCAAAATTCCACTCAGTAGTGTATATAATACAGGGTGGGACAACATTAAATATTGCTCAAAATTTTTTGAATGCATATTTTTCCGAAAATTCAATCTCGGATTATGAAAATCCACACCTCTTTACAAAAAAAAGGTACTCTTGCTCACTAGAGTCTCGAGATCATACCCGTGTGTTCACCGAACACGCCCGATCGTTCCCTAAGCGGTGGGGAAACGTAAACGGGCAGCAGTACAGTAACTACGTTATGAATATTGGCGCGTGCCTAGATTATTTTGGAGTCAAATGTGTCATGTACTTCGAGACGGAACACTAGTAGTTGTGCCTTCTTGTTTTACATGAGTATATTATAGGTAGACATCAAATCAATAAACATAGTGCTCTCGCCATCGGTATTTGCTGAACTTCGCTATGGGAAAAATGTTGAATAACTATATTGGGATGAAGAATGATCTATACAGGGTGTATCTAAATAACACCGAAATAATTCAAGGGATGATTTCTTGTGATATAATATGATGAATAAAGGTCATATAAACATGTGTCCTAAACTTGCTTCGTTTTAGAGGTACAGGGTTACGTCCTGATTTCGAATCCGAAGTGATTTTCAACCTATCTTGCCTCCTAATATCATTTTCCGGAAATGTTGGTGGGTTCATGACCAGAGCAGTGTTTTTCACTGAAGATTACTTCACTTTGGTCATAGTTGGTATATATTATATCTATCGCTCCTTAAAATTGAACAGTTACGTTAGATATACGGGTTGATATTCCATTATAGAAGTGACATGCACACTGTTTATATTTTTAAATACATCCAGTGGGATTGAATTTTATTTTATGTTGAATATTAGAGTGTGTTTTTTTATGTGATATATTCGTTTTGTTTATTTCAAATATATATATATATATTTTTTAGTAGGCATACTAGTACTTCTTTTATATAATTCTGAAATCTGATCCACCCTGTATTTGCTTCAATTAAACGGCATCAGTAGATAGTGAATAGAATGTTAGGATAGGGACACATCTAAGCCATTTTGACAAATCAATATAGGTATTGTATAGTTTCGATACAAAAAAATCTCGATTTTTCACATTCTACGTATAGGTATACCTTGAGCTTGATCAACGAAATCATAGCTCAATTAGAAGAATCGAAAAATGTAATAAAATATAAGGTGTTCCATTTCGAATAACAAAGCTGCTACTACTATACTACTAAGTACTACATAACTACTAATAATTTCTAGTGAAGCAGATGAACATTATCAAAAATAATTTGAATAAAACGAGCGTCCTGGCCAACAAAACATAAGCATATAATATGTACATATAGTTTCATGATTTTCGATGAGTGGTTCGCTATTTACATGTAGGACTCGTCGTGACATAGCGAATTATTGCAAATAAAATCATCGCTTTCATTATCTGATAGGTCGCAGTAGATCACTTAATGCCTATCAAATGTTTCTTATTTATTCGAAAAAAAAAAATGTTGAAATGTGATCAAGAAAACTGTTGGTGGCCCACCCCGTACTACAAAAACAAAGACAGCATTAGAGAAGCTGCCTGCCCACTCATTGTATCATGACTGCCTGCTTACGTCTCGGTCTCCCCACCGCTTAGGTAACGATCGAGCGTGTTCGGTGAACACACGGGTATGATCTCGAGACTCTTGTCTCTTGCTCCCCAACTATGAGATGTATCATTATCGAGTGAAAGCGATTTGGAAATATTGTTACATCTCAGGTATTATGCATAACATTTATTTAAGTCGTAGTGGGAATGGAAAAAAATGCACAAAAATTTAAGTAGTTTTCTATCATCATTCTCCTATTCGTTGTGTTTTCATAAGATTGTTTGGTGAAAAGAAAGTAGTTGAGTTTTTTATAGCCACTATATGATTCGAAAATTGGCAACGTTATGCATAAGATGTGATTGTAGTCCCACTCTGTATTATACAGTCCTGAATGAAAATTTGGAATGATTTCATTGTCACCGCATTGGGCTTAGAGAGTTAAATTCTTCACATTCATATATCTTATATTCAAGTATTATATCTTCTGCAAGAGCCCCCTTTCAGGGGGCCGTAGCTCACTCAGGAGACATTTTTCGCCTCATGTTCATTGAAACTCTTCTTCCTATTTTCGGTCGAATAAACTGCTGGTGGAGTTTGGCAAGCTAATTTCGGGACACCCTGTATATAGGAAAATGAATGATTTTCTACATTTGAGTCAGTTGTCCAATGCAATTGTTTTGAATCAATACTCAGGGTATTACTATAATCATCATTTCGAATAAAGAATTAATTTCTGCGGGTGTGATGAAATATGTTGATGAAAACACTCATCAGAATGAAGTAACTCGATACGAATAATAAACATAATCTCCATTAGATAATTGCTACTCTCCAGTGTTCTGTCAGACATCAAGAAAACTAACCAGTAACCAAGATGAGTGCACAAGAATCCATGAAATGTCTGGGATACATATCGAAAATATGCAGTATCCTTGGTGTTTTCCCAACTCGTGCAAACACATGGATATATAAAGTTTACTGTTCGACAATATTTTCACTCATATTAATCAACGCCATTATAGCTTTCAAGGAAAGGACTTCTCCTCTATTCCCTACCTATCATGTGATAATCAAAGCAGCAGAACAAATGGCGAATGGTTTCTTAACGCTGGCCGCTTCTTCTGCAACCATTTCGAACGTTTTTGTCTCTCCCAGCAAATTGCAAGAGATTCTCGATTTGCTGTTGAAATTCGATATCGATATTGGCAACCATCTGCAGGTAATGCGATCAACCTTCTGGTATATTCTGATCGCATTGAACGCAATCATCATACTGGTATTATCCCTGGATTCCTGGTTGTGGATTGATGCTGTCAGTCTGACGATATACAAGTACTATCTCGTGAGAAACGTGCAATACTATCAGCTGACTATATTCTTATTCCTGATATTCTGGATGGCCATGGAATTATACTGCAGGTTCGTCATGTTGAATAAGTTCCTGGAACGATTTTATGAAACTAATCTGAAGAATCATCCCATCGTCATTTATCTAGAAATTGCCAGAGTGAGAAGATTACACAATCAGCTCTGTAAGGTGTTGGATTACCTCAATCGAATCTTCGGAATGGTGATGCTGCTGTATGTGCTATTTGTTATGGCTCACATTATTTTATATACCATCACTATGATATTATATGGGAGTCTTGGTGGGTCCCTCCAGAATTATACTCTGCGTATTGGATTATTACAATTAACTTCTTGCTGCTGGATAATACTGAACTTTGTAAGTATATAAACCTTTGTGTTGATCATTAGTAGATGATTGATTCAACGAAAGTATGAAGAAGCAAATATCTCTCCGAATTGGAAATATATTTTCATGTGTATCATTGATTATGCCGATTAATACACATCTATTCTGAGAACCAATGGAATTTCTTCAATTTCTAAAGACCCACCAATCACCAGGCATTTGTAGTGATGTAAAGCTAGCTATCTTGCTTCCCCAATAATCGATAAATGCAGGGTGATATTTCAAAAAGTTCTTTCTCCTAGTAAGTCATAATTATATGAAAAATCGAGAAGACAAATGAATCTTAATTTCAAGGGAGACACTCAAAATGAATATTCTTAATTTCGCGGGGACTGCCAAGGAAATAACAATTATTGTTGATATTTCAGAAGAACATCGTTCATGGAAATATGTATGACGTGCTGCACATCAGATATTGAGACAGTATTCCAGGACAGGTCGGATCTGTGCCTTATAGATCATGAGCAGCTGACTGGAGATGTCACCCTTAGAATCTCACATGGAAAAGGGGGGTCAATACAATTATCTTTCCAACGGTACCCCAGTTTATTATTTTCTGTTGAGTATTTTGCAAAAAGAGCCTTGTCATTTAGAAAACTTCCCACCTTTAAGATCTTCCTTTCAGTAAATGAGATGAAAAATCGAAAAGATAGGTCGATTTCAATGTCGAGGGGGGCACTTTGAATGCATATTTTTAGCCCTGTTAGTTCAACCCCCTAGGAGGGGTAGATGTTACCCTTAGAACCTCATATCGTTCCAGTCTTCGGTATATACAAGCTGACTGACAAACAACGCCCTAAGCCATAGCACCGCTAGTACCAATCCAATTTTGAAAAACAAAAAAGCAAATTAAATGATCCACCAGATGCTACGGGGTTTTTATACGGAAATGAGATGAAACGTGTGATAAAAGTTGATGATATCGGCAGGTAGCCCGACGGTAGTACCAAAGTTGCACGATTGTCTTCAGAGACGTCCTTATGACTTCTATTTCAGGTCAATATCGGGCAGAGAAGTTCTGTGACCAATATGGGACGTTAAAATGAAGTCAATTCTCATGACGTCAAATTACCGTGATTCAAATTACTGCCATAATAACGTGATTACTCTATAAAGTGACGTTTAGTCGACATACTATTGACGTAGTTTTTGATGACCATGAGAAAATCCTCAACATTATTCTATTGATATTTGATTTGAATACCGCGGCATGAATGAATGAATGAATGATTTGACACCGATTGTACTTACAATATCGAATTCCATTCTGTTTCATTTTTGTACATATGGCAGTAGGTTACATCATTATATAAATATTTTTGAGTATACAGAATGGAATGGAAATATGATCCAGTCATTGATAAGTTCCACATGGGTTTGCTTCTCATTCTGCTATCGGAAGAATATTCTTCGGACCCAACTATTCCTGATATGTATTCACATCATAATATGAATTTGTTTCCAATCAATCAAAGGGCATTAATTCGATACAAAAACAAATAACAATATCAATTCGGACGCCATCTTCCTGTTGTTTTGGCGATTTATTCTGACGAAATACTGGCAGACAGACTCAGTACGAACAGGCGGAACTACAACGACCCCACCGACCGTACACGAAACGCGAAGAAAGGAAAGCGAAACGCAACGCCATGATCGAATTTTTTGTTTATGTTCTGGTTCCCACCATGAGTTATATCCTGTAATGTTTATGTGGTTGTTTGTTGTCTCGGATGTCTCACTAAGATGGTTTGAGAATATTTGAATTTAGTAAAAATTTCAAGGAATTCTGTAGTGCCAAGTGTGTAATAATTATGTGTTTATTTTTTTTATGTTCTGGTTCCCACGAAAAGGAATATCCTGAAATGTTCAGAAAACCAAGGGAAATGAGGTAGGGATTGGTGTTCTTCTCGAATTTCTGGAAGTTCTATGCTTCGGGGAACACTTTCCTTGGCGATGTGTTCCAGAGCCTAACTGTTCGTTGGGTGAACGAGTCTCTGGAAAGAGATGTTCTGCAGGTCTTCAAAGTGACCACAAAGGCGTGCGAAGCCTCAACTCGACTGGTTAATTTCGCGGGGACTGCCAAGGAAATAACAATTATTGTTGATATTTCAGAAGAACATCGTTCATGGAAATATGTATGACGTGCTGCACATCAGATATTGAGACAGTATTCCAGGACAGGTCGGATCTGTGCCTTATAGATCATGAGCAGCTGACTGGAAGTGATATAGCTCCTGACCCGAAACAAAAAACAAGTTTTTGGGATGCACTTTCAGCAATTGATCTCACGTGATTTTTCGATTAAAGGTTATTGCTGATAGTATTACCAAGCATCAAAATGGATGTCTTCAAAGGTATGGTTACTCCTGGCAAGCTTATGTTGTTTGTTTCTGATTTGCCTGGCTGGTATTGGAGCCCTGGAAGAGAAGGCGGTATGGAGGGTACTATCATTCGCGGAGCTGTGTATTGGACATGAAGTTGCTTCCAACAAATCGTTGATATGGAGTAGAAATAGTGTAGGTGCTAGAATTGATCCTTGCGGAACACCAGCATTTATGATAGGAGAGTGAGATGAAACTCTGTCGACCACTACATGGAGAGACCTGTTTGAGAGAAAACTAGCTAGTAGAGAACATATCTAGGGAGGCGAGCCATAAGATGGAAGCTTGGCGAGGAGTCCGTGGTGCCAGACTCGATCGAATGCCTTGGAGATATCAAGTGCCACGGCTAAGGTTTCACCATATTTTTCAATAGATCACTACCATATATGTGAGTCGTAAGCGAGCAGGTCACCAGTTGATCTTCCAGGACGGAAGCCATATTGCCTATCGTTTGTTACTCTCAGTTCAAGCAGAGATTATAATCTCTGGTTCAACAAAGTATCTGGCCGTCAGGTTAGGTTATAGTGTTTTGGTGACGCTATTGAAAAATGAAGTCTCCTGGCCACCTATCATAGATCAGAAGAGATTCAACAGAGACTTGTGTAGAAAATATTATGAGGCTATTTCCAAAGATTTTACTCACAGTGGGAAGATTTTTTTGGATAAAAATTCATATTATTGTTCAAAATGTAATCAGATCATACGAATTTTCAATATCGCGGTAACCCCAGAACTAGAAAAACAAACATTTTAGATTTAAAAATATATCAAATCTTATGAAACTCTCGTATTCCTATATTCATCAAATTATTTGAAAATACATGTTACATGAAAATGTGGAAGATAAACAATGTTGTCACAAAATGTTTCATGTTTAGGTACTCGAGAAACATGATGAAGTTATGTCTATCATATCAATATATGTTTTCATGTGGAAATGTTCAATATATCAAGATGAATATTCAATATAATATATCTAATCTAAACATTTTTCATCTTCTTTTCATTCATTGAGTACCTATTTAATCATCCTTATATCTGCATCTGAAGCGAATTCCGATTTTGAGAGCTGGCTTCAAAATACATCACTGACAGAAGATGATGACGTCGATAATATGTCGTACTACAATGACATCTTATATATGTCTTTCATAGCGTCTACAAGACGTCATGAGAATTAATATAATGGTCTCTGACATTCGACTTCCATTTATGGCGCCATCTCAACGTCATATTTCAAGATAATATTACGTCGCAGATGGTCTGAAGTGACGTCAAATTGACGTAAGTGTGCTCTACCTGGGTACGATTGTCAAGAGATTCATGGGAAACGATAAGTAGGTTGAAAGTTATCAAAAAGAGATGTTATCATTGTGATTTTTCATTTTGCACTGTAGTGCTCGTATTTGAAATATTATTTTTTGTGTTCCACTGTTTGTGAAAGATCCAACCCAGACGATTATCGTAATGCGCCCTGTATACACAATGTGTTCACCCTATGGACTCACCAGCCCTGTGAGACATCTATTTTTGGTTGATCTTGAGAAACTGTGTGTTGATAGCAATTTCAAACACCTTGGTTTTTATGAGAAAGTTGCCCCTATATAGTAGTACTTTTTCATCTTAAAGAAAATACTGATATTATTGTAACAATGTTGTTATTCCAGGTGAAAATATGCTGTTTGTCTATGGCGGGTCATTTGTTGTCAAAAGAGGCTAACAGAACCATTACCATCTGTTATAACATCATTAATCAACCAAGAGGACTGGACCAACAAACCAAAATGATGAACGAAGAATTGAAGTTCCTTTGCGATCAAGTCACCCAGCAAAATCCCTGTTTATCAGCAAATGGATTCTTTGTAGTGGATTTCACCATGATTGGTTTCATTCTTTCAAGCATTACTTCTTATATTATAATATCTGTACAGTTTATGAAGGGATGTTGATGTTCGGTTCTCTCTTTTCTTCATTTGTACCTACTCTATTTTGCTAATTTTTGTACTCACATAAATGAAGTGTCATTTTAGCGAACGGATATGTACCACGCTAGAAATATTCGATCAATAGACCATTTCACGCAAAATGTGGTAGAAGTTGTGTAGGTACGGCTATGTGGTAGAAACTATAATTCCGATGGGAAAAGGAGGTATATCTACATAATAAGAAGATTTTATCGATAGACAACTGAACTGATATCAATAGAATAAATAGCACACTTGATCGACATATACAGGATGATGATTTTATGTCAACAATTCCTCCTACACCGAGCAGTTTTCTAAAGTTCGAGAAATTCACTACTGATGAAGGTTTTGTTAAGAGGTCTGCTATTTGTTCCCCGACTAGAAACAAACTCCACTCTCATAACGCCTTCTTGATATTTTTCCCGTATGAAAGGCAAACGCATTCCGATATGTTATGATTTTTCATGAAACTCAGGGGTTTTCTCAAGTTTAATAGCACTTGCATTCATATACAGGGTGTTTCTCAAGTACGTGTAGAAAATTCATGAGCATGTTGATGCTGACGTCTTAATTGGAAGAAAAGTTCGTTTAAACATATGTCCGAAAGTTATCCGTTTCTGAGATACAGAGTGTCAAAGTTGAATTCTTATTGGAAGAGTTCAAAAAAGCAGGTACAAATAAGTAAGAATCATACAGTTCTCAACACACCAAATGGACCACTCATAATTTGACTATATTTCGAAGACCTGTATTTTTTTAAAAAATTGACCGATCTTCATGCGGTTTTCGATATCAGATGTGATGTTTCATCGGCTTCAAAGAGAGCTAGAACAATCTGAAAAAGTCCGCAAAACAAAACTTACACAGGGTGTAAAGTGGAACCATTACACTATGGTCTACATTTCCAATGCTGCCAGAACTCGAGAAATTTTTTTCTGATCAAAAGTCAGTCATATTATGATACACTGGGACCCCATCTCGGGACGTTTTCGTGATTTCCCCTTAATTGGCCATTGGAACAAAAATTCGATTTATTTTCGAAAGTCTTGCATTTCTTGATTTTTTTCTCTAGAACTCCACTTGAGCTGACTATTGAGAAGAACTGTTCTCATGTTTTATGGAGGATAATGAAAGACGAAAAAAGCACTTTTTTGGATTATACAGGATGATAAGAAACTAGGACAAAATCTCATTTCAGTGAAAAAAATCTAAAATGGTGACTAAAACTATGGCCCATTCGATCCAGTATATTCAGAAACGGCCTTCTCGATATCCATTATTTATATCAGACCATTAACTCGAGACGTTTTCGAAGATTCGTCTCTAAATGAAATACAGGTTGAAAATTTCCAATTCAAACTTGTTTCCTGATATTGATGGTTTCCAATATTTATTGCCCAAGTATGAGACATAGAGTATTGTTGTTCAATGTACTGAGTGTTCTACAACTTATCTGACAAATTTCAACCACAACTACGATATTACAAAAGAAGTCTATCACAAAAAAAATTATAGAAGTTGAACGAGATGAAAAATAAAATTTGTAACACTTTATATCCACTAAAACTATTTTAAAAATGCTCTATTGGCGACATATGACATTATTGAATTCTTCAGCATTATGAAGATCCAACTAGAAAGTCCTATATCCTAAATTTCAGTACTTGGTAGGCCTCCCCGATTCAACAAAACCTCATGAAATCGGTTTGGCATAGATTTTATGAGGTTGTTGATGAAGTCTATTGATATTGCCGCCCATTCTGGATAAGGTTGTCATTATTTTGGGGTGCCTCGCCTTCTCGATAGGTCAAGTTTCATTCGGCTCCACATATGTTCAATCAAATTCAGATCTGGAGATAATGCTGGTCACCACATTCTTCTAACATTATTGTTTTCTAGAGTTCGTAATTTGTCAGATAAGTTGTGGAACACTCAGTATATTGAACAACAATGCTCTGTGTCTCATACTTGGGCAATTAATATTGGAAATCCGTTGATAAAATGATGAGAATCATCGATATCAGGAAACAAGTTTGAATTGAAAATTTTCACCCTGTATTGTCCTATTTTCTTATCACCAATTTCGAATAGTTTTAGTTGATATAAAGTGTTACAAATTTTATTTGCCATCACGTTTCACTTCTATTAATTTTTTTTGTGATAGACTTCTCATGTAATATCGTAGTTGTAAAACACTCAGTATATTGAACAACAATTCTCTGTTTCTCATACTTGGGCAATAAATATTGAAAATCATCGATATCAGGAAACAAGTTTGAATTGAAAAATTTCATCCTGTATTTCACTTAGAGGCGAATTTTCGAAAACATCTCGAGTTAGTAGTCTAATATAAATAATGGATATCGAGAAGGCCGTTTCTGAATATACTGGATCGAATGGGCCATAGTTTTAGTCACCATTTTTGATTTTTTCACTGAAATGAGATTTTGTCCTAGTTTCTTATCATCCTGTATAATCCAAAAAAGTGCTTTTTTCGTCTTTCATTATCCTCCATAAAACATGAGAACAGTTCTTCCCAATAGTCAGCTCAAGTGGAGTTCAGGAGGAAAAAATCAAGAAATGCAAGACTTTCGAAAAAAAAATCGAATTTTTGTTCCAATGGCCAATTAAGGAGAAATCACGAAAACGTCCCGAGATGAGGTCCCAGTGTATCATAATATGACTGACTTTTGATCAGAAAAAAATTTCTCGAGTTCTGGCAGCATTGGAAATGTAGACCATAGTGTAATGGTTCCACTTTACACCCTGTGTGAGTTTTGTTTTGCGGACTTTTTCAGATTGTTCTAGCTCTCTTTGAAGTCGATGAAACATCACATCTGATATCGAAAACCGCATGAAGATCGGTCAATTTTAAAAAAAAATACAGGTCTTCGAAATAGATTCAAATTATGAGTGGTCCATTTGGTGTGTTGAGAACTGTATTTTGCCTACATTTCAATGTTGAATGAAGAAGAATATTGAATGAAGGAAGAAAAATGCACTGGCTTATCTTCTCTGATATTCACTAGAGGCGAGTTACGATCCACATGGAAATAATTCGAATGCATCGATTATTTCGGATCCCAATAACTCGAAAACAGTTGCTCGCAGCGACCTCTACCTGAAATATATTTTTTACACAGAAGTATTCTAGAAACCTATTTTTTTAATATAAAACATTATACAGGTACGCACAAGAAAGTTATAATTTTTCAAAAGACTCAAAAGACATATAGGTGGCGCCACCCCCACGAAAGAGACAAACTAACATAAAATTTGATATTGTCATTGAAAAATACTCCTAGATACCAAATCTTCTTTCGATATCACAATTATTTCGAAATTTATTAACAAAAACCAAAAATAAGAATTCAACTTTGACACTCTGTATGTCAAAAACGAATAGCTTTCGGACATATATTATTTATACGAACTTTTCTTCTCATTTTGACGTCAGCAACACGCTCCTGGATATTTCACACGTACTTCAGAAACACCCTGTATAAGGTGATATGTCCATCAAATTGAGTGATTTTACCAAGTAGACGTTTTACCCAAATCAATTACTTGGTTGCCTCGCTTGCAGCAATATATTGTGCCTCAGTGGTGAGAAGAGGAACACTCTTATGCTTCTGACAGAACCAGGTTGGTGCAAATCCAGCATACATACATACAATACCAGATCTCCAATTCTTTGATTTTTCGCATTGGTGAACAATCCGAAATCGATTGAGATATCTCAAAAAGTATCTCAATTTGTGTTTGACAATACGCCAATCAGATTTCCTAGGTAAACATAGTTTGTCTGAAAATACACTTATGGCGAAAGCAATGTTTGGACTAGATCCAGTCATAATGTACATAAGGCTGCCCACTAATAGGGTACAATGCTATTCATGCTCGTGTTGCCACCAAGATCTACTCCAGTATCACAGGGTGTTACAATTGGTTCACAAAATTCCAGTACTTCATTTATCCATATACTATCGTCACTGAATATCTTCATCTGCAGACCAAGATAACAAGCAAAGTCCTCTTCAGTGATTTTGAACGTTGTATGAAACGGAATGAACCGGTGAATTGACGTTCCTATATACAGAGTGTTCCACATAGCCAAATGGGTAATAGGGGGAATCAAGATGAGTTGATGTATATATATGAAAATATTTTTTGATCCTCCATAACGAAGATACAGGGTATTATGTGAAATTGCTTTATAACTTTGATGGCCGATATTACAGAAATGATTCATCGTAATCTGCTGAAATTTGGCAGCTACGTATCTCTACTGCAACTATTCAAGATAACATATTATGAAAAAAAAAATATCCAGGACTTTGGAAAATTTCTTGTTTCATTGTTATGTCAAGAAATTACACTTTGTGACCACTTTTCTAGAAAAATTCCATCAGATTCAAAAAGATCAGACAAAATGCTATAAGAACTGCCCTTGAATTTACACGGCACACTTTGACCGGTTCAATAAAAAATTATGGAACAAAATCGTTTGAATGAATTTTGAATTTCGACCTATCAACCTTCAACTGGATTCGTGTAAATTGATTTTTTTGTACATTTCCATTGGCTAAAAATTGACAGAAGAGAGTAGTTCTGATTTTTCATGATTTGACATGTTAGTTTTTGACCGAACTTCCAGATAGATATAATTACTCGTGACTCTATTTTATGAATTTGTTATAAAGAAGGCCCTGTTTTCATTTCATGAAACGTGACGTTTGTTGATAGGTAAATAATGGTAATCGAAATATTCTTGAACTCTAGGTGCCACTTTATATTTCAAATGCTGAACAAGACGAAAATCCAAAGTTTACCCTTGATGGCCATCATAATAATATGGGCACATGAATCCTCATCTCGTAATTTCATCAGTTGGTACCTACCTAGTACTAGCCTAGTACCTACCTATCAGTTCAGATTGATGAAACCCATAAAACAAAGTCAGGAATGAATAATATCTATCTGGAATTTCGATAATTTCGGGGATGGCACTAGATATCAGTTACGACTGCCTGTCATCTCCC